TTGAGAATACCCGAATCTTCCTCGTCAATTCCTTGAATCTACGAAGACGAGTGCGTGGGCACACCTAAAACAAAATGAGATTAGCAAACACTCATGTATTCCATGAACACCAACACATGCACAACGTGAAATTTTGAGAGAAAACATTTCCTTTCCTCACTCTATAATATTCGGTCACCTATTCTAGGGAAAGCATAAATTGTGTTCTTTAATTTTCTAAAATCTTCTATTTATAGAGTAGTAGTCAGACTTTTAAAAGAAGTCTAAGTTTTATCTCCAAGATAGCTTGATAATTATCTCTCACTTCTAATTAATTTTTGAACACAATCCACTCTCTCCCTTATCCTATATGATCGGCCACCACAAGGAGATTCCTCCCTGTGATAGGCACAATTTGCAGGTAGGGAAGAATGCAAAATTCAGCTTTTATTCTGCAGTCCAATTTTGACTCAAATTCAAATTTAAGTCAAACTTAATTTAATTTGAATTTCAATTGGGCAATCTTATCAAATACGTCAATTGGATAACTTAGAGAGCAAGTAACTGAATTTCAGAGGGATTCACGCTGTGTTGGGTGTGTACATTATGTGGACACCTCCACTTGTGTGTTCTAAAATTCAAAATTTAAATAATCACATTATTTTTAATTTATAATTAATTCTCAATTAATTATTTTTGAGCGTTCTATTTAAACTTCTATAATTCTAAAATTTTCATTTTGCCCTTATTGTCCTGTAGGATTACAAGAACGATGCAGGGACTCATGGACCTATAATTTTGAGCTCTAATAAAATTAATAATTAATTAAAACTGTTTAATTAATTCATTCATTCTATTTATTCCAAAAGTTACAACACTATAAACTTGGAATTGCACTCTCGTAATTATAGATATAAATTACTTCTAAATTGTGAAGTGTCTATTTGATATAGTTATTACATACATATCAATCCTCCATAAATAATTCATAGCTAGGTGAAATCCGTTAACCTCTCTAATTACATCTTTATCATTGAATACCATTGATTCTCTAATGGACAATGATTCGTAAAACAAATTCATGAATCATAGCTCCTACTAGTCAACTCTCAAGAGAATTATTTATCTACTTCTTTCTCAAGAAGGAATAGATTCCATCTCGTATATTAATATTTCCAACTATCAACTTCATCATGTCGCCAAGATATAAGAAATATGATTTATCAAACCTTGAAATCCGTATCAAGTAAAACAAAAGACATAAATATAAAAATAAGAGTTTGCTAATAACTCGGGATTGAGATTATTCTATTTATAACCATCGGTAGACTCAATTAGAATTTCAATACTTAACAGAAATTATCAGAAATTCATATTGTGTCTGTGCCCTGGTTCCACACAATCTCATTATGTGTAATACACTCATTTAATATCTCGCTATATTAACAATGCAGATTACATCATTCTATTTTAAATGGGAATGACATGTATAAAAAATGTTTTAACTAAGGATTCTGAACTTTAATTAAATTCATTGCGAACATCGTTTTGATTATTATCCTTAAATATTATCCTTTCACATATAACACTTATATGCAATATTTAATGTTACATAAATAATCATGGAATTTTCAGTGATATTCATAAAATATTCAATAATATATACACATAAAATAATGAATAAACTCTTTTATTAAATAAATAATAAATATCCTATTACATCTCATTCTTCTAGGATACCATTCCTAACAGGAAGCTACTGATGGAGGCTTCTGAAACATTTAAAATGTTAGGGTTTGTGCTATTTTAGTAATCAAGGGCTAAGACTATAACTCTTTTTTTTTAGAAGATGATTAAAAGTTAATTAGATTGATGGTTGAGATTTATTTAGACAGAAATTGATATGTCACAAAATATAGGGGGCGGCACTATAATTGTAACATTTGAAAAGAAAAGGGTAATCAAATGTTACGGGCCCATTTGACAATTTTTTAGAAACTGCTTTTAGCTTTTTTAAGGAAGCTACAACAGGTTAAGGTGTTTGGTAAATCTTACTTTTGTCCAGTAGCTTCTAAAAATTGCTCTCAAAAAGCAGAATTTAAGAAGCAGGTGAGGGGTTGCTTTTACAGTCCAGCTTCTGCTGTCATTATCAAAATTTACTAAGATAACCTTAATAATAAAACTTAGGGTATGTTTGTTTCACAACAAATTAAGAACTTGAGTTGTGTATGTGAGAGAAAAACATTGTAGTAAAAAAGTTGAATTTGAATTTTTGTGAGAGAAAATACTTTAGTAATAGAACTTGAGTTGTGAAAAAAATAAGACCTTAATTCTCAATATGCCTATTTTACTTTTTCTATACCAAACTAAAAAACATATATATTTAAAATGGTTATTTAAAATTAAAAATCTTTAATAAGTATGCTATTCTAATAATAATATTAATATATTTTTAGTAATTATTAACATATTTAAAAATGACAATAATAAATATTAGCGGTTGAATCATTTTTCTCCTTGAATAAAAGTAATTTTTTAAGAACAATTTTAATTAATAAAATTTAAAATATTTTTTTTATATTATGAATGACGGTAAAAATAGAAATAAAACTAACTATAAATATGTGCGATAAAGTATGTCTATTTTTATTATTATACATTTCAGTAGTAATTTTATACATAGTTTAATAAACATTTAAATTTTTACTTTTGGTACTCACAGCAGTTTTGTAAAAATCTTTATCAAGCACAACAACTTATTACTTACAACACTGGAAGAATAAAATTTTTTAATAGCACAGCAATGCCAACCCGGTCCATATTTGTATTTATTTTAGATTTTATGTACATCACCGTCTTGAATCGTTGTCTTTTCTTTCAATGGCCTAGATTTCGCACCCTACCGTTAAGAAGAAAAGTAAGTGCTCCTACCATACACATTCCCTAAAAATAAAATCAATGACAAATTGTACATGCACATTTGATTTGTTCGCAAAGAAATTAACGAATCGAAACAAGAACTCTTAGAATTATGCTTTTACATAATTTTTTAAGACCAATTTTTAACATATTATTTGACCGATCATGATTTTTCTTCATTTTTCAAAGGAAACACTTTTTTTTAATTAATTTGTACTTTCTTTTTCATGAAGTTTAAAGAATATTTTTGAATTTTTTCTTTTTTCTTCATATGTAGTTGTTAAATACACAACGAATTAATTAAATTAACCTTTACGTACTACAGTAAAAATATATTACTTTTTTTATATGAATTTTTCAATCGGTAAAAATATATGATGGCAAGTATTTACGCATCTCCAACTACGTACACCGGATAAAAAAAAAACCCAAACGGATAGTTTTTGAATTTCCCTTTTAAATATATGTAAACAAGGTACCGTATTACAGCGGACACAAAACTTATTACTTATAACACAACAAGAACAAAAAATTTCAACATCACAACAATGCCAAATTGGTCAATAGTTTTATTTATTTTAGATTTTATGTACATCACCGTATTAAGCCGTTGTCTTTTCTTTTAATGGCCTAGATTTCGTACTCGGTAAGTAAGAAAAAAAGTAAGCGCCCATACCATACACATTCCTCAAAAATAAAGTCAATGACAAGTTGTACACGCACATTTAATTTGTTCGCAAGGAAATTAACGAATCAAAATAAGAACTCTTAGAATTAGGCTTTTACAAATTTTTTAAGACTAATTTTTAACATATTATTTAACCAATCATGATTTTTCTTCATTTTTCAAAGGAAGTACCTTTTTTTTAATAAATTTGTACTTTCTTTTTAATGAAGTTTAAAGAATATTTTTAAAGTTTTTCTTTTTTCTTCATATGTAGTTGTTAAATACACGAATTAATTAAATTGACCTTTACTATGGTAAAAATATAATATTACTTTTTCTGTATAAATTTTTTGATGGTAAAAAAATCTGATGGCAAGTATTTACACATCTCTAACTGCCTACAATGAATAAAAAAAAAAAAAAAACCTCAAACGGATAGTTCTTCAATTTGCCTTTTAAATATGTGTAAACAAGGTACCTTTACAACGGACAAAAAAAATTTTAAGCGCAATCTCTCTCTCTCTCGCTCTCTCTCTCTCTCTCCCTCTTCTTTCAATTTCAATTTTCAATTTCCCCCAAATTCTTGTCGGCTGCGGTGTTGTGGGCGGCGTTGCCGAGTAGAAGAAGACACATGAATGAGAAAGTACACAAAAATTGAAGGAAGCTCCCAAGGTTTTTCACTTGTAACGGCATTTCCTGCTTCTGACTCTTGAATCGGAGGTGTATCCTTTCAAAATCTATCTCTCTAGTTTCGCCCAATTATGATTCGTGATTCTATTTTCTGGAGTTGTACACATTATTTTTTTGCTTGATTCTGTTTAATTTTGATTCAAAAGTTCAATTTCAGTTCTTTTGGGGAATTTGTTGCCTTTCTCTTACATCTCTTTCACACTATAATTCGTGTTTTTGGGAAACACATCGATAGTCTTTTCATGTTCGATAAGGTCTTCTTTTGGGTTCAAAAGCCATTTTGTTTGATTTATGTAATTTTTTGTCCTGTTTCACTTTGCCGTTTGTTCTACTGTCTGTGTTAATAATGTTTGTTTGTTCATTTTGCTGTTTTGAAAATCTGTTTTTACTATTACTATCAGTATGAAACTCTGGAAATTCTGTTAGCAACTATCTAGATAGTTTATTTATCGTCCTAGTTTAGTGTTAATGGTTTAAGTTTTCACCATTTGGTTGTGCGGAAATCGAAACTTTGATTGTAGCTTTGGTGTGAAAACTAGGAAATTTTATTGCATAGACATGAATTTAATTGAGTTTGCATTTAAACATGGTTGTACTTGTGTTGTATCTTCGTATAAAGGCTGTTTTTTTTTTTTAGGATTAATCAACTTTCTTAGTTTTTCGTACATGCTGATGTTTTGTCTAATGATTTGAAGGTTTTTTGCCCTTTTTCTCAGTATGAGCGAGCAGTCATTCTGCTAGTAAAAACAAATTTTCCTATGCGAAGACTTATGCAAAAGATTGGAGGTGTTTTATTAGTTTATCTTTACTAAATTTTTAATACTGAATACTGATATTTTGATATTATAGAATATAGATAATTAATCAGAATCTAATAGTTTGCAGAGTATAGTACAATTGTCATTTTATATAGCTTTACAATGAGAAGATCACTGCTTTGCTTTCCCCAGGAGAAAATTTCTGGAGTTGCTTTGGAGGAGAAACAAAAAAAGCTGCTGCGCAGTTTTATGGAGCAAATAATCTTGGTAATTGTTCTCTTTCCATTCTTCATCTTAGGAGTATTTTTTTTTTCTTTCTAACATTCTCACCCCAAATAATATCAATAATAAGCGTAAGGTTTGTTATCTTGCTGACATACAACGTTTCAAGTTACTGCTTCGGGCTAATGATTATCTTAATTCTACTTGTCTAATATGCAGTTTACACCTTGACTGATGGCTGGCACTGAAAGTAGTGTTTTAACATTGGGTGAATATGATTGGCAGTAGGACTTGTGTTAAAATGTCGAGTGATCTATTTATTTTAAAATTAAAACTTCCCCTTGGATTTTCCCCCGTTGCAAAAGAACCTGCCCAAGCTTTTTCGCCCGTAATGCCATTCAATGCTTCTCACTCTTGAATCAAAGTTACAATATGAAAATCTCTCTTTTTTCTTTGTTTCTTTTTTGCCCAATTTGATTTGTGATTCTGTTTTCTGAAATTGTAAACACACAAACATTTTGCGTGATTTTGTTTTGTTTTGATTCCAAAGTTTTTTAAGAGACGAAAATATTTAACTAGAAGTTTTTGCCATCGAAAACTTATTTGTATTCAATTTTTTGGGGAAGTTTTTAGACAAATTTAGTTTCTCTCTTTTTAACGGGGAATGGGAAATGAGCCATCTCTTACGTCTCCCTCACATATTAGTTGTGTTTTTGGGCATCATATCAGTTGGGACCTTGGACAAGGTCTTGTTTTGGATTCAAACGCAATTTTGTTTGATGTGATTTCTTGTTCTTGAACATAAGTAGTTCTCTTTTGCCATTTTGTTCTAAATGTTTGTGTTAAATAACTTATTCCTATTAAGTTTGTTCTTTTGAAAGTCTGTTATTCTTATTTATTACTATCAATATGTTGTTGTTGTTGTTGTTGTTGTTAATATTATTATTATTATTATTATTATTATTATTATTATTATTATTATAATGATGATAATGAAAGTCTTGAAAGTGTGTTAGTAACTATCTGGATAGTTTATATATGGTTCCAGTTTTCTGTTCCAGTTCAGTGTTAATGGTTGAGTTCCTGCCATTTGATTGCACGGACATTGAAACTTTGATGGTTCAAATTACTAGTTTTGGTATGAAAATTCAAGACACTTAATTGCATAGACATGAATTTAAACATGCATGTACTTGTACTTGGTAAAAGGAAGGTAATTAGGTCCATTACAGGCCGGTTCCAGACCATAAGGATCTTTATGAGCCTCATTCCAGCAGTGTATGATGTATGAGGTTTCAGAAGGCTTCAATTGTACTATTTTGGCTGTGGGAAAACGAGTACAGGGAAGACATATACGAATGGAGGGGAATGCAAAATATCAAAGGTGTTTCAATGGTTTATCTTATATTTAATATTCCGATATCATTCACCACGCTTATCCGTAGCTGTATTAAAAGCAAATATTCGAACCCTCGAGAACCAGATTGTAGAATATAGTATTGAAAAGTTCACTTTTTTTTTTGGTTCTCCTTAGTCGGAAACACTCTTTTCTATTACAATTCACGTTAAGAAAGCAATGCCAGAAGTTGAAGATACATAAACATACAAACACACAAAACTAGTTGCAATGAGTTTACTTTTATTTTGACATGCCTTAAAACTTCTCACCTTGTAACTGTATAATCTATCATAGCCACAGTTTGATCAGCAGTTCATTGACTGAAGGAAACCTCGAGTAGTATCCTAGATTCTGCCCACAACTGCAAATGCAAGGAATATCAAAATAATCCTGAGGTTTGTTATCTTGTTGACATACTTTGTTTTTAAGTTACTTCTTCTTGCTAGTTGTCTAATATGTCATGTAAACCTTCTTTAATGATTGGCACTAGTAGTTGTGTTTGAGCATTGGGTGAATGAGCAGCATTAGGATTGTGTTTACATTGAGCAATTTATTTTTTTTGGGACTTTGTATGTTGCTATGGAAATAGTTAATCTCCAAAAAAAAGGAGTACATTTTTTTGAAGGCATAATATTTAGTTTTTAGCTCTCTCTAAAATTTCAGATAGCTTTGGTTAGTAACTCAAACATTACATTTTGATAATAGCTGAAATTATAAATTGTATTGCGCTTGATTAGATTTAAATAGATGATATTATAATTCTATGACATATTCATCACTTGCTTTCATTAAGTTTAGTTGTTAGTCGCAGGTCATGAGGATCTTCTTGTTGCTAGCTAGTTTCTAGTGTGTTATTTGAGCAACAGTTAATTATATTCATTCTTTTGAGGAAATTCTTAACCAAATTTCACTTCTTTTTCTTACATCTCTCTCACATTATAGGTCGTGTTTTTGGGACACATAGTGACAGGGTTTTCATCCTCGATAAGATCATGTTTGGGATTCAAATGCCATTTTGTTTGTTTTGTGTAATTTATTGTCTGCGTTGATAATTTTTCTTGTTCATTTTGTTCTTTTGAAATCTGTTGTTACTACTGTTATTAGATTTGAAGTCTTAAAATTCTATTAGCAACTATCCTGATTGTTTATTTATCGTTCTAGTTTAGTGTTAATGGTCAAGTTTTCGTTGTTTGGTTATGCGAAAATGAAACTGTTAGGAACCTGTGATACCAGCTCAATTTTCACACAAAACAACAAGAATAAAAGGCAATCAGAGTGGTTTTATTGATCATCACCAACAGTAGCTCATAGAATTTTACAACCAAACTAAGAAAAACGTAAAGAAAGCTTAGGATGATAGACTAGAGTATTTGAGGACTCCGGGGACCTCTTAGCTTTGATGGTATTCGAGAGACCACCAACTATCCCTAATCTCAGTTTCCTAAAATTCTCAAAATCACAGCCTACCTCTAGTGAGCTACTAAGCCCTTTATTTATATTAATTCCTACTAACTCTACCAGCTCACTAACCAAACAAGTTCCCAAGTCATTAACGAATCCTAACATTACCCCCGCCCCAAAGAAACACCTTGGAATAAAGGGTTAAGTAATCGCAGCCGTGTGACTCCACTTCCTTTCAATCTTGATGAGCTTGGATCTTGGAACATTGAACGAAATGATTCGTACAGAACTTGCTTCAAATGTTCTTGTTAACTTTGTTTTTTCAACTTTACACTTTTGTTTGGAGCTGAAATTGAGAACCACTTTAAAGACAGCGAAACCATGAAGCTCAGCCTCAAAATCATCATTGTAGCAGTGGAAGACCTTGTTGCCCAGCTCAAACAATTCATTTATAACAAATACCTTCCTCCCACAAGTGTTATCTGGCTGCTGTTCATGTTCCACCACGTTAGAGAAAGTTTCCTTGTTATGTGTGAGAACATCAACAATGTAGGGCAGCTTCTAGTGTACACTCTATATTCCTTTGTCAACAGCCCCAAAATTGCTGCGAACAAAATCAAATTCATTTTTTAAAATACAAGAATGGACTCCACTGTTATTTTCTTTCACTGGTGCAGCAAACTCCAATTCTACAATAACATCCTTGGAAAATTTTGATGTCATTGACATCTTGTTTCCCATATCTTGAAGCCCCTCATTACTAGCACCAGATTGGAAACCAACTTCATTTTCAATGCGTTGGTCCGCCTTGCCATCAAAATTCTTCATCATCAAGTCCCCTTGAACATCCATTTAATCTGAAACATCTGTTGTTTGAGCTGGAAGCAACCTGCTTGAACTGCCTACCACTTGCTCTTTATCAACTTCCAATTTTGTAATGACAACTCTCTCTAAAGCCGAATTTGAAATCTCTTTCCCAGGTTTGGCAAGTACGTTGAATTGTCTTCTATAGTCAGCCATGGTATCCTCTTGACGTTTCACCAAGAAACTCTCATGTAAGGCCTCATCGGATGACAATCTGAAATGCTTAAGCAGATGAGTCTTCAATTCATTCCAACTGTAGAATGGGCATGAGCATCCTGCCATCGATACCAAGCCAAAGCGTCGCCTTTCATAGCCATTTTATCTACTTGGATTTTTTCACTATTCGTCATTCTATAGAACAAAAAGTATCGTTCAGCTCTAAAGACCCACCAATCAGGGTCTTCTCTGGCGAATAATGGCATATCCATTCGCTGAAATCGTTGATCTGTTTGGCCCTCCCATAGGGTGTCGTGCCACCTTTCCCTATTCCTACTCGAAACCCCTGGAATGATTCCTACTCGAAACCCCTGGAATGATTCTAATTCCAAATCGAGAAGACCTAACTCTCTCTCTCAAATCAGATTGCAAAACCCAATCTCTCCCACCCAACTCCGATCACCTAGACCTAGCCTCAGTCATGCCAAAACTTGAAGATCCCGTCCATATTTGGCTGTAATTGACTCTAATCTTGTTGTATGTTCGAGGCCCAACCCAAACATTACTGGAATCAGTCTCAATCACATCAGAATCGCAAGACCTAGACGTAGGGCTACCGGAATTTCGAGACCCAACCCTAATTTTTCCAGAATCCGCCCAAATCGGGCCGAACTCGCGTGATCCAGTCTGAATTCGGTCGGAATTAGCCTAAGACACACTGGAATCACGACACCCGGTCTAGATCCGGCCGGAATCACCTTCGAACGCACTGGGATTGCGAAACGTAGCCCTATCTACGCTCGATCCCGTCGCGAATCTGCTACCGTTCACTTCAGATCTAGTTGATCTTGCTCCGGTTCGCGAAAAATCGATCCAATCAGATCACATCTCCAGCTGTCCCCTATGCCGGCGTGAATCGCCCATCTCAGGTCGCATCTCTGGCGTCGTTCACTGGCGTTGGATTTGCAGACCAGTTCGCATCAGCCATGGGTCGTCGTTCTTCTCGGATCTGAACGTCGCAGCACCAGATTGCGACAAATGGCTCCAATCTTCGTCAATCTCGCGCGATACCGGATCTGGCCGTCTTCCCTCCGTCTTCGCTCGCCGGCGCAGTTCGTACGGTTCTGAACGCTTCATCACCGGCAGCGGTCGGCGGCTCTGGTTCTCGAAACCCCACGATTCCAGACTATTCTCATCCTTTTTTTGGTAAGATTTTTTTTTCACAGATTTTTTTTCTTTTGAATAGTGATGCCAAAGATTGATGCTCTGATACCAAAATGTTAGGAACCTGTGATACTAGCTCAATTTTCACACAGAACAACAAGAATAGATGGCAATCAGAGTGGTTTTATTGATAATCACCAACACTAGCTCATAAAATTTTTCAACCAAAATGTTAGGAACCTGTGATACCAGCTCAATTATCACACAGAGAACAACAAGAATAAAAGACAATCAGAGTGGTTTTATTGATCATCACCAAAACTAGCTCATAGAATTTTACAACCAAAATGTTAGGAACCTATGATACCGGCTCAATTTTCACATAAAACAACAAGAATAGATGGCAATCGGAGTGATTTTATTGATCATCACTAACAGTAGGTCATAGAATTTTACAACCAAACTAAGAAAAACGTGAAGAAAGCTTAGGATAGACTGGAGTATTCGAGGACTCCGGAGAACTCCTAACTTCGATGGTATTCGAGAGTACACGAACTCTCTCTAATCTCAGTCTCCCAAAACTCTCCAAATCACAGCCTACCTCTAGTGGAGCTGAAATTGAGAACCACTTTAAAGGCAGCGAAAGCATGAAGCTCTGTCTCAAAATCATCCTTGAGGCAATGGAAGACCTTGTTGGTCAGGTGAAACAATTCATTTATAACAAAAACCTTCCTCCCACAAGCGTTATCTTGCTGTTGTGCATGTTCCGCCACGCCTGAGAAAGCTGCCTTGTTGTTTGTCAGAACATAAAAAATGGAGGGCAGCTGAAGTGTACACTGTCTCCATTCCTTTGTCAACAGCCCCAGAATTGATGCGAACATAATCAAATTCATCTTTTAAAATACTAGATGGACTCGACTGTTAACTTCTTTCACTGGTGCAGCAAAGTCCGACTCTACAGTAATATCCTTGGAAAATTTTGATGTCATTGACATCTTGTTTCCCATATCTTGAAGCCCCTCATTACTAGCATTAGATTGAAAACCAACTTCATTTTCAATGCCTTGTTCCACCTTGCCATCAAAATTCTTCATAGTTAAGTCTCCTTAAATATCCATTTAATCTGAAACATCTGTTGTTTGAGCTGGAAGCAACCTGCTTGAACTGCCTACCACTTGCCCTTTATTGACTACCAATTTTGTAATGACAACTCTCTCTAAAACCGAATTTGAAATCTCTTTCCCAGGTTTGTTAAGTACCTTGAATTGTCGTCTATAGTCAGCCATGGTATCCTCTTGATATTTCACGAAGAAACTCTCATGTAAGGCCTCATCGGATGACAATCTGAAATGCTTAAGCAGATGAGTCTTCAATTCA